TTTTTCCTCCCAAAAAAATCAGATTCAAGTTTCCTCATCCAGAAGCTTCCGAAGCAGTCCTGGGCTGACATAGTAACTCTCTCCAGTTACTTACCAGGGGCTGCTGTATTATTTAGCATATTATAATGAGCGAGACATCACCCCACCCTCCACCAACCCACGCATTGTCCTAAGTTTTCTAGCAACAACTACTTGTCGCTTCTTTCCCCTTCCATCCCTATGCTCAGCCAAGAGCTGGTGTTTTGTGTTGCTCAGTGTTTGATGAGTAAATGATGAGCCAACCTTTTTCTTAGGCTTGAAGTTATAAGTTTTAAATGTTAAGGATTTTTTGTGTGGGGGGAGGGAGGGGTGACATAAAAATTGTCTGAAGTGGTTGGCTTCAGATGCAGTTTTCCAGGCCACAACCCAAGAGAGGATAATCTAGAACCTGCAAAGAGTCTGTGCTCTACTAAGTAGCTGATAATTTGCTGCAGATATCCAAAATGTGCACTGAGCAAGTTCTATGTTGGTTCTGCTGGGTCTTAATCCTAATGTCCATCGCAAATACCCATTGAAAACAAAAGCTGTTTCCCCTCCCTGTTCCCCACCACACTGACTCCCCTTGGTGGATCTTGACACATGAAACAAGCCCCAAGACTTCCTTCTAGAAAACTTTGCACCCCATTTGAGGCCAGCCTGAGCTACAGAGGAAAACCCTGTCTCAACAAGACAAAACAACGGAACTAGAAAGTAAGAACACCTTCATTTCATGATAGAAACAGAAGACACCGGGGCTTGGACGGGGAACGACAGTTTCTTGCTTGACAATGAAAATGAGGACCTGCCCTTTTGCTTGGCCAGCCCTTGCAGCCCCCCACAATGGTGCTCCCTTTCCTGGACAGTGTCTGCCCCACCTCACACTCTAGCCTAGGAGAGACAGGGTTCAGGATGGCCGTGAAAAAGGCCTGGGATTTGGGAGGTCTAGGGGAAGGAGCTAGAGGCAGATGTGCATAGGGAAGTCAGTCTTTTGGGAAAGGTCATCTGGAAGGTCAGAGATCAGACAGAGCATTTGTTGTGATGTCTTGCCCTCCCGGACTTAGGTCATCTTGTTAGCAAGAAAATCAATGATGGCAGTGTTAGTTTGAATTCTTGCAGTGCCAAACAGGACCTACAGTCTCCCTCCCTTCCTCCCTCCCTTCTTCCTTTCTTCCCTCCCTCCTTCCCTCCCTCTTCTCTCTCTCTCTCCTTCCTTCCTTCCTTCCTTCCTTCCGTCCTTCCTTCCATCCTTCCTTCCTTCCATCCATCCTTCCTTCCTTCCACCTTCCTTCCGTCCTTCCTTCCTTCCATCCTTCCTTCCTTCCATCCATCCTTCCTTCCTTCCTCTTTCTTTCTTTCTTTCTTTCTTTCTTTCTTTCTTTCTTTCTTTCTTTCTTTCTTTCTTTCTTTCTTTCTTTCTTTCTTTCTTTCTTTCATGCTGGTACTGGGGCTTAAACTCAGGATGTAGGCACTGTCCCTTAGTTTTTTCACTCACGGATGGCACGCTACCATTTGAGCCACCTCTCCACTACTAGCTGTTTGCTGGTAACTTGGAGATAAGTCTCATAGACTTTGCCTGGGCTGACTTTGAACTGCAATCCTTAAGTCTCAGCCTACAGGGTAACTAAGACTACAGGCTTGAACCATCAGTTCCTGCTTAGGACCTACATTTTTATTTGCACATTATAGGACTTCTATTTTCTACATTGGTCTTAGCTGACTTAAAAAAACCAACTGGTGAATGTCCAATGTGTGATTGAAAATCAGTCTATTCAGTGCTAGTGACAAAAACCTGATCCTTTTTTTTTTGGGGGGGGGTCCAGTCGTGGGACCTGAACTCTGGGCCTGGGCGCTGTCCCTCAGCTCTTCAGCTCAAGGCTAGTGCTCTACCACTTGAGCCACAGCACCACTTCCGGCTTTTTGCTTATGTGGTGCTGAGGAATCGAACCCAGGGCCTCATGCATGCAAGGCAAGCGCTCTACCACTGAGCCACCTTCCCAGCTAGTGACAAAAATCTGAAAGCTTTCCTCCACTTCTAGTTTGCATCTATTGTTACTTAATATCATACAACAAAGTACTAATTTTATGTGCACAGTTGGATGTTTTTAATATATTTTAAGAGTTGCTTATCTTCCACCACAATCGTTAGAACATTTTTATCACTCCATAAAGAAACCCTATGTTCACACTCAATTTCCCTGCAATCTCTCCAGCTCTTAGCAACCACCAGTCTCCTTTCTGTCTCTTCTACAGTGACTCACACCTGTAATCCTAGCTTCTTGGGAGGCTGAGATCTGAGGTTCACAATTTAAAGCCAGTGCGAGCAAAAGAAAAAAAACCATAAGACACTTATCTCCAATTAACCAACAGTCTGCCAGAAAAAGAGCTGTAGTTCAAATGGTAGAGCACTAGCCTTGAGCATATTCTTGGGATAATGTTTTCAGAGTTAACCCAGGCTGTCATATATATCAGCACCTCATTCCTTTGAGTTATAGTCTATTGTACAAAACACTACTTTTTGTTTAACCATCCCTTAATGGACTTTTTTTTAAAGCTATTATGAATTATTCTGCTTCTACGAATATCCATGTTAACATTTTTGTGTGGAAGTATGGTTCTATTTCTCTTGGGTATACACCTAAGAGTGAAATTGGATATAAAGGAACTATATGTGCAACTTTCTGATGAACTGCCAGATTGTCTTTCTCAAATAACTGCACCACTTTACATTACCACCAACACGAATGAAAGAGTGCTCCCTTCCATTGTATCTTTGCTAGCCCTCGACAGTGCCCGTAACTTTGTTGTAGTCATCCTGATGGTTGTAAAAATGTGAGTCATTATGGTTTGCATTTCCTTGATGGCTAAGAGAATACTTCCCTCTGGCCTGCTAGGCACCAGTGGCTCTCACCTGTAAGCTAGCAGCTCTAGAGTATGAGAGCTGAGGACTGTTGCTAACTCTTATCTCCAATTAACCTAAAAAAGCCAGAAGTGGGTTGTGGCCCCAGTGGTACAATACTAGCCTTGAACAAAAAAGCATAAGGACAGCTCACAGGCCTTGAGTTCAAGCCCCAGGACCAGAACCAACGCTGCCATCCCCTACCCCCACCCATCCCCCCAAAAAAAAGAAAGAAAAGAATACTTCTTTCCAGTCCTACTGTTCTCTTATATTCCTTAAAAATTAAATGAAGAGCTGGGCCTTGGTGGCTCAAGCCTGTAATCCTAACTACTCAGGAGGTTGAGATCTGAGGATCATTGTTCAAAGCCAGCCCAGGCAGGAAAATCCATGAGACTTTTATCTCCAATTAACCACCAGAAAACTGGAAGTGGCACTATGGCTCAAGTGGTAGAGTGCTTTCCTTGAGCTGAAGAACACAGGGATAGCACCCAGGCCCAGAGTTCAAGGCCCACGACTGACAAAAAAAAAAAATTAAATGAAGACCACCTATAGCTCTGACTGCTGACTGCTTTTCACTTCATGTCCTGAGAGCCATCACTAGCACTTACTGCCAAAGTTGAGAGGCAAGTAGACCACATTGGAAGCCTCATGATTTAGCTAGTTAATGTGTGTGTGTTGTGTGTGTGTGCAAGCGCATATGTACACAAGTGTATACATGCATGCCTGTACTGGGGCTTGAACTTAGGGCGTGGGTGCTGTTAACTTTTTCATCAAATCTAGCACTTTTATCACAAGAGGCACAGCTCTACTTCCAGCTTTTTGATGATTGATGGAGCTGAGACTCTCACAAACTTTACTGCCTAGCCTGGCTTTAAATCTTGATCCTCAGATCTCAACCTACAAAGTAGCTAGGATTACAGGGATGAGTTACCCACACCCAGCTTAAGTACTTAATATTTATGCCCTACCCATTAACGTGAAGAATTATGTCAAGTTCTATATTTATATCTTAATATTACTGTGTTGTATTTAAGATTTGTGCATGTGCTTGTTATAAATCTACATTGCACGATTTAAATCTATGATCTCGTTTGATCCTCTGTTATCTCTGTTTATAATTGTATTTTGGGTGGTCTTGATACTGTATGCTTTGTCTTGTGTCTCTGTGAACTCTGGTAAGCTAATCAACATAATGATCAACTTAATGATATGATAAGAAAACACATTCTGAACTCCAAACAAATGGGCAACAGATTAATGTCTACAAACCAACCTATGTGTGAGCCAGGTTAACATTAGCCAGTGTAGAAAGTTGTAAGTACACGCACAATACAGAAAAATTTCATCAACCATTGGCTAAAGACAGCAACGTTAATATAAATGGGACAAAGGGTTACTTACTTATATCTTTGCTAGCACTTACAGTGCCCATAGCTTACTTACTATAAGAAGTTTGAAAAATTTATGCTTGAGAATCTCAGGTGACCTCTAGGGAAAAACCCTGCAGGGAGATAGAAATAATCACACACAGCTGGTCCAAAGCATTCCGCTTCTTAAAAATGAGACTACTTGGATCAAAATGGCAACTCAGGCTGGGCTTAGGGGTGCACTCCTGTAATCCTCAGTATGAGAAAGCTTGGGGCAGGAGGCTAGAGAGTTCCAGGCCACCTGGATTACATAGTGAGACTCTGTCTCAGAATGAAACAAGAACAATAGAAGAAGCAACTCAGGATGTAAAGGCTTCTAGGCGAGATCAGACATTCTTATGAAAAACCAACTTCTCTTATTGGCTGGAGTCCAATGCCCTAGATCTTTTACTGGGCCTCAACTCCTTTTTTCTGCCTCATCCTGCTTGGATTGGGCAGGAGTCATGATGACAGCAACCTGGTACCCATGGATTCCTCCAGGATAATGATTATTGGACAAAAACTACGGGGCTACCAACACTCAGGCCACTGAGGGCATTTTTGCTAGTCCTGCTCTTTGCCTAGACAAAAGTTTTCTAACATGATAGCAAAGATTGCATCTACAGTCTTTTCTTTCAAAAGTGAGTAACTTCATTTAGAATTTTCTGTTTTAATTCCAGGTATTCTTCGGCAGAAATCAGGAAACAGTCCACTCTCCCGCCAAACCTCGGCCAGCACCACCGGCAGAGCATGAGTACGTCTGGCTTCCCCTCTCTTCAGCTAGTAAGTATGAGTTGCAGATTTTCTGAGGGAAGGTCACCTACAGAAGCGCACACCCCATGCGCATACCCTGACTAGCCTCCATCTTGTAACCACCTAGCATTCTGCACTCACCGGTTCGTTAGTGCCTGCTTTGGACATGAGATAACCCTCTGTAACCAGGGCTTAGAGTGTGAATAGGACTTCTGTGACTGGTTTGGCACTTAAAAGGCTTCCAGGCTATTCACATTATAGTTCATGTTTAGGGAGCACTTTAGCCTGGATATATACCACCATTTGTAGCCTGCTTTTGTTGAGAAATTCTGTCGCCAAATCTGAAAAACCCAAGTGAGAGATCTTTGTTTTGTAACGGCCATTTCCTTGGGAGTATAATTAAAGTAAAAGTTACCTATTTCAGGAATAATAATTTGATGAATTGGAGCAATTTGTACCCCTCTTAGGGGTATAATCTGATGACTTGGAACAACTTGATCTTAAACATAATATGGAACATTTTCCCCTTTCCAGTCCTTGTCTTGTCTTAATCCTGAACCCCTCAATTCTAATGCAGGAAGCAATCATTGGTTTGCTTTTGTGCTTATAATTTGCCCCTACTTGGAACTTCACACAATTGGAATGGATACTGTTTGTTCAAACTTTTCTTTTTGAAATCACATTCCGTCATGGTGCAGATTGCTTACATTAACACCAGCTGCTCACTGTGCATATGTGTTGTCTGATTTGAATACTAAAATCACATCCTGTGTCAGGTGAGGTAAATCGTTTGTAGGGTAGGAGTAGATGGGTCACTTCCTGTGTGAGAGCCCTGCCCTCTCTACATTTACTTCTTCAACCTCACAGAGCACAGCAGCATTTTCTGATCCAGTCTAGTGGTTATCTTGAAGAGGTTGGGTTCGTTTTTTGTTTCTACTTATGACTTCCAAAACCACTTCTGCTCTTAGAGATGTTGTAATCTTCCCCTCTATTTCCTGTGACCGCCATCTTGTCTCCTGTAAAGTTTGCACGCCTGTGTCACTGTGTATTCTTTAAGGTATGTTTTACTGGTGTGATTTGTGGTTATTTCAGAAGGGTAATTTATATGTTGTGGCACTTAATGAACTAGTAATACTTAAAAGTATATGGCACCTTTTACTGGGAGAGGAACTGGGGATGACATTTCTCTGAAAAATCTATTTATAACTCGAGTGGCTTGCTCGCCCGCCCTTTCTACTTGAACTTGCCCTGTGTGCTTGAAAAGTGCAGGTTACATTTGAAAAAAAAAAATCCACCTCAAGAGCTTCGTGCCCATAATCTCAGATAGGTTAAGTGAACTTTAAACCATAGTAAATTATAGTAAATACTTCTTGGTTTAATTTGATGATAATGTATACTTATATAAAAGTTTGATTCAATGTCTGACTCAGGATATATTCCAAAATCTAGCTGAAAAGTGACTTGGATATACTTTTAAGTTTTTAACCAGTGAAGGGGAGTTCTAGTGCTTTGCTGTTTTTGTAAATCAAGTCGACAGCTTTCTATAGTAGCTCTCTTGAGATATAATGTGGACATCTCTAGTAAGAGACTTTAAGGAAGCTCAGCGCATAAGCATTAACCCTTTGTCTCCTCACCAGCTTTTACTTTCATGTTGCACCCTTAAATTTTTTGTAGGAGAAATCCCTTCCAAATGTAAAGTTGCAAAGGGAAAAATGTGCTTAATCTTTGCAAGTATTCTCGTTAGTACTTGGTTGCCTCCTCAGGACGTTTTTGATGAATTACTTTAGTAGCTGCAGAGTTGGGCTAGCAAGTGGCTCAGCTGCCCATATTGTAAGAGAAGGTTTAAAGGAAGTAGAAAAATTGTTACAACTGTGCCACAGTCATGTGTTCTACCTGTGGCCATTGAACCCTCATTTCATTTGTACATCTATACACTTGAGAACATATTATTCCAGCTGATCACTGGTCATTCAACCTAGCTACTATAGAGACAGAACTGAGAATTGTGGTTCAAGGTTAATCTAGGTGGGAAACTTTATGAGACTTCTAATTAATCTCCAAAAAAAGCCAAGTAGAGCTGTGGCTCAAGTGGTAGAGCACTAGCCTTGAGCAAAAAAAAGCTCTGGGATAGGACCCAGGCCCTGAGTTCAAGCCCCAGGACTGGCACACACAAAATAAATAAGTATATATATATATATATATATATATATATATATATATATATATATATATATATATATATATATATATATCCTGGCTTTTCCAGTTGACTTTTCTGAATCTATTTTTCCATCGCTCTACTCTAGCTTCTGCTAGTCTGTTGTCCATCTTTCTTCTATCTATAGGATAAGAAGCATGAAGATGTCTGAGGGACATCTCTTGCTCTTTCTCACTGTTTTTTATACGTTTTAATGAATGATCTTAGAAAATCCTATCTCCTAATCCGTTCTGTTCTCTGGTAGTGTGACTATGTGGTGGCTTCTCCGAAGCCATCTTCTCAAATAAGGCTTCTCGGAAGAAATTAGCAACGTACATGGTCATTTAGTTGCACCTTATGAAAAATAGTTTCTTTTCATAGAAAGATAATAGACCATTTCAGCAAGATTTGTTGATAGCAAGGCAGAGGAGTAGTTTATGATCAAAGCATTTCCACCTGAAACAGATTTAGAAAACTTTTCTTAAAAGAGAGGTTGCAGACTGCTCATTGGATTATTTTAGCCAATTGAGAAAGGCTGAGCAAAAATTGTATTTATTTAATCGCCACTTCTACCACCTCATATGTTTGTACAAATGGGTGTTTGTTTTTTTTTTAAAAAAGTGTTCAGAGTTGTGAGCCAGTGGCTAGCATCTGTAATCTTAGCTACTTAGAAAGCTGAGATCTGAGAATCGTGGTTCAAAGCCAGCCTGGGTAGGAAAGCCCATGAGATTCCTATCTCCAGTTAACCACCAGAAAACCAGACGTAGTGCTGTGGCTCAAAGTGATAGAGCACTGGCCTTGAGCTCAGAAAAAGCTCAGAAACAGTACCCAGGCCCTGAGTTCAAGCCCATGACCGATCAAAAAGAAAAGAGAGAGAGAAAAGTATTCAGTTCAAGTTATTTAAAATTCAGTCAATTACCAACCATTGTTGTTTTGGAGTTAGAAAGGTCTCTGTGAAGGATAACTTCCACTTATTATCTGTAGAACTTGGGATAAGTTATTTAACCTCTCTAAAGATTCCTGTGTTTTCTTTTGCAAAAATGCAACTGATCAAATCCTTGTTGGGGTCAAGAAGAGTTATTTAATGTATCCTGTGCAAATAGTGGCTAATGTGTTGAAGCCTCCCTGGAAAAGTAAGCGAGCTTTCTGAATGGGTAGGTCTCTGAAGGCCTCGCCTCTGTCTGGACAGGAGTTAAGTAGGAGATGATGTGAATTTTTTAGAAGAGGCAGTAAAATATAAAGGAGAAGAAAGCTATATGGTCTGAGGCAACAGGTGTTTAAGGACTTTGAGCTACACTTTTACAGGAGAAAGTATAGCTGTTTAAAAGAAAAATAGAAGAGTTTTGAAATGAAATGAAATGGATCAGCCAGGCTGTAATGCTGAATGAAGAAAAGGATGTAAAAAGCCACATCCTGGAAACATACCACAATGCCATGGTTACCTGACATGTTTGTGTATCAAACATTTATATTGAAAAGAAGCCTCCTACCTTAGATGCATATATTTTCCAGAAACCTTTTTCTTTTAAGGCTGGGGTTAACCAGTGAATAGCTGGATAAATATGGCCCCACTTTTCCTCTTCTGATTCTGTTGTTCATTTATATTTCACCTTTCAAGGAATTAGAGTGTGCCATGGTTTTATTCCCTGGAAGGAAGTGGTGGGAGGGAAGGTTTCTGCAGTTTGCCTGCACAGTCTCAATGGAACATGAAAGAATGGCAGATTCTCTACACAAGAGCAGGGAGAGCCACTCAGTCTTAGCAAATATAGATTGAGGGCCTAGACGCCAGGTTAGTGTCTTCAAAGGCATCCATGGGAATCTGCCATTGTTGGAAGCAAGAGAGTGTTGTTTCACTTAGATCAGATAACAAAGAGCATTGCTTTATTTTAGCATACAGAAACAGGCATAGGCAGATGCATGAGCGCAGACTGTGACCGAGGTAGAAGAGCCAAGTTTTTACCTGAGCTGGCCTCCGATTTGCCAGACTCTGTCTCCTGACTAGCTGAATCGTTGGGGGTATACCACCATACCTCACCCCTTTGGCTGTCTTTTGGTTAGCCTAAAACTAACAGATGCAGGAGTGAGGAACCTTTTTTGTTTTTCCTCCCAAGGGCCATTTGGATATTGCTAGCATCATTCTTGGGCTGTGTCCGTGCAGGCAGTTGGGCTATGGACAGCCCATGAGAAGTGTATATTTCTGTTCTGTCACATAGCAGATGATCCCTAAGACCGTATACAGCCTGCAGGCTGCAAGCTCCCATTCCTAGATTAGAGAATGTCTGGTGGTTTATTAGAGATGAGTGTCATGGAGTTTCCTGTCAGGGCTGGCTTTGAACTGCAATCCTCAGATCTCAGCCTCCTAGGATTACAGGTGTGAGCCACCAGTTCTTGGCTTTCTTGCTTATAGCTAATGCTGTTCCGCTTGAGCCTACAGTTTGGCTTTTTGATGGTTAACTGGAAATGAAGTTCGGTGTTTTTTGTTTTTTTTGTGTGTGTGTGTTTGTTGATTGTTGCATAGGCTTGCTTCAAACCACAATTCTCCAGATTGTAGTCTAATGACTCGTTAGAACTCCAGGCTCTGCTTTTTGTCAATGTACTCCCCAAAGGTGGCGTTATTTATATGTGAACAGGTCAAAATTCTCATCTCATGGTTGACTAGCATATAGTTCCATGAGGACACCCAACTGGACCCCCCCTTGTATGCCAAAGCCCACTCAGTGATTGCACTTAGTAGATGCTCAGCAGATAATGACGGAGGGAGAGAGTAGGTTGTGCTTTGCTTTTGGTCTTTGAGTAGCTGGTTCTGAAGATAAGAGATGGCAGTTAGAGCCTGCTTGTTTTCACTATCTGTAGCCTTAGATTCCAGGAATATGAGGAGTGTTACACTTTGGCTGAAACTGAACATTTTTTTCCTGATAGTTGTACACAAATGTCATTTTTCCTTGAAGTGTCTATTTACACACAACTCATACCCCCTTGCTTAAAACTGCGCTTCAGTGTAATTCTCAAGTGCATATTTCCAGTGCTTCTGCTTGAGAAATTGACATTCTTCATAACTCATTTGTGTTTATCATTTACTTATTCTGTGTTTGAGCAGATAATCTCATGATACATTTGCAACAGAATTTGTGGGGAGTGTTGAAGGCATTTATTTTGACATGCTTTTTAAACATAGTTACTGTTGCCTTGTGTTTTAATTGCCTCAAGAAATACAGATTCCCTGAAAGGCCCATAAAAGAAAAGAAGAAATAGAAAAGACAGTAATAAAAGAAATTAATAAAAAAATGTTAAGTGTTTAAGAACGTGACTGTGAAGATTGAAATTCATAAGCATGTAACCCTGGGCAAATGATTAAATCTCTGGGCCTTTCATCTGTAAAATGAGCTTAGTTAAGAAAGCATATTTCTTCAGGTTCTAGAAAGGTTTTTGGAAAAGGTGAATGATATAATGTCCATAGAAGATGCAGCAAATGCTCAATACTGGTTACTTTAGTAACTAAGGACTTTATAGTAATATGATAGGAGATAAAACCACAGTTCTCACAATTTCCTATAGGAATTATTTGAAGGTAAACTTGCCTCTGCATGGTAGTTGGCAGGGCTGGGCATCTACCTTGGGGCATGTTCTGTGGGTGTGCATAGTAGGTTTAAATGCTCCATGCATAGAGAATGCCCATTGTTCTGTAGGCCTTGCAGTATCCTTCTGCAAATTCAGTCTGTACCTGGCTCCTACAGAGACTCTTCTGTGGTTCTTTCAGCCCTGCAGGCCTCGGGACAGGCCTTTGTGAGCACCACGTTCTCTCCTCCGCTGACTCCCCCCCCCATCAGAACCAAGGGAAACTTCTCTGACCTTTCTCATACCATCTGGAATGAACAGGGGATGCTTTGCTCTCTACTTCTGGAGTTTCCCTTTGTACGTCTCCTCTGTCCCCTTTGTAATTGCCTGTATTCTGACACCTGCAAGGATCCAGACAAGTAGTATAGATGACCTAGACACAGGGTGACTGTCCCCTCCCCCACGGTTGTCATCTTTCTGTTTCTACCAGGAACAGCAAGGGTGGTCAGGGAACAGGCTAGCCTTATTCCCATCAGCTAATCTCAAAGTGCATCACTTCTTCCATAGCATTTTTGTTCCTCTTTTCTTTTTTTTCTGTTTTTGGTTGGTCATGGGGCTTGAACTCTGGGCCTAGACGCTGTCCTTGAACTCTTCAGCTCATGGTGAACATTCTGCCACCTGAGCCACAGCGCCACTTCCCGTTTTCTGGTAGTTAATTGGAGATAAGAGTCTCATGGACTTTCCTGCCCGGGCTGGCTTTGAACCGTGATCCTCAGATCTCAGCCTCCTGAGTAGCTAGGATTACAAGCATGAGCCACCAGTACCTGGCTTGTTCTTCTTTTCCTACTTGATGCCCTTACTGACATGAGGGTGAGGCGATGGGCAAAAGCGATTTGTTAGCACACCCTTCATTCACATCTGCCTTCTCTCACAGCACAGAAGTGCACTCAAGAGTTGGGGGTTCTTGTTTTGTTGGTCTTTTGGGCTGCTGGTAGAGCCCATTAGTAATAGCCTGCCATAAGTGAACACCCCAGAACAGCCTCACAGTGTGTGCGTGTGTGTGTGTGTGTGTGTGTGTGTGTGTGTGTGCAAACTCTAGTATGTGGGACTTGAATTCAGGGCCTCATTCACTCACTTGGCTCTTGGATCATGGCTGGTACTCTACCACTTGAACCATACCTCCATCTCTTGTTTTTGCTGCCTAATGGAAAATGAGAGCTCTGAGATTCATCTGCCTGGGATGGCTTCAATCTCAGTATCCTGAATAGCTAGGATTACACTTAGGATTTAGCCACCAGTGCCTGGCTATTATTATTGTTGTTATTCTGCTGCTGCTGCTGCTGCTACTATTGTTATTACTATACAGATCTACTTGACATTAGGGATTCTCTTACTCCTTAAGGCAGTGGCTTCTAAGTCTCTGGATTTCACAGATAAAAAGGGATATTTGTTTTAACTGAGGATTGACAAAGTGCTGCCTCATCTTAACGTTATCTTCTTAAAGAACAATGTTGCTTCAATTGCATATCCTCCTTTCTGCATTCCTTCCTTCTTGCTCCATGGAAGGATAAAATGAACCAAGAGAGCATGTTTTCAAGGTGAGTAAATTTAGCCATTAGAGCACTCAGCAGATGGCCCTGAATTCAGTCCCTTAGCTGCAGTTCAGTAAAAATTTCTTCCAGCCCACCAGTGCTTCTAAGTCACTGTGGGCTCTGAGTATGTCTCCAGTGTTGGCTTCTCCAACGCAGAGGGTAGCTCAGGCCAAAGGAAACACTGAAACTCCACCTATGTGCCAGAGGAGCGTTGAATTTGCCTGAATTTCTGGAAAATTGCCTCCATCCCTTACTGTGCTGGGTTGGGGTAAACAAAACATGGCCTGAGAGAGCTTTTGCAGGAGAAGTTACAAAAAAATGCCACAAAACCCCGTGATCTCATCTTGGATCTCCTAAGGATTCCCCATCAAGCTGCAATTAGGCAGAGAAGATTCTGCCTTGGGGTGTGATTTTAATTACTCATCGTGTTACGACTTGACTTTCCACTGCTGCGTTCCTTGCCTTCCCTCCATCACCGTGTCTGAGTTTGACAGCTTCTCCAGAGTCACTTTGCTGTAGGCTAGGAGTGAGACACTCAGTTGAAGGGGAGCTGAACACTTCTGATTGCTGTGCATGCGCCCCCACAAAGTGGCACAGACTGATCTCTCCCTAACCTCCCCGCCCCCCAGCCTCCGTTTTATGACCCCGTGGAGCCAGTGGACTTTGAAGGACTTCTGATGACACACCTGAACAGCCTGGAGGTGGAGCTGGTCCAGGAGCTGGGAGACTTCACCGATGACGACTTGGATGTTGCATTCACGCCCAAGGATTGTCGGACCTTGCAGCCCTCTCTGCCTGAGGAAGGGTAAATCATTTCCTTACATTACTGATGCAATTGTGATGACTGTGGCTGTTATTGGGAAGGGGAAGGTGCCCCCATGCTAAACATCTTTTAAAAAGAAACCCTAAAATGACTCGATCCATTTTGATAATCCAAGACAATGCATAGTATTGCTACCTGCATCTGGGCAGCATTTTTGTTTGGTTTCTGTGATGCTGAGGATTGAGCCAAATTGAGTGCTTTGGAAAACGTTGCAGGGACTAAGCCAGGTCAGGAGATGCAGTGGGTAAAGAGGTAACTCCCTATTTCTTTATTTGTTTATGCCAGTCCTGGGGCTTGAACTCAGGACCTAGGCACTATCCCTGAACTTTGTTGCTCAAGGCTAGTGCTCTACACTTGAGCCACAGCTCCACTCTGTCTTTCTGGTAGTTAATTAGAGATTAACAGCCTCACGGACTTCCCTGCCAAGGCTGGCTTTGAACCACAGTCCTCAGATCTAAGCTTCCTGAGTGGCTAGGATTACAAGCATGAGCCACTAGTCCCCAGAGGGAACACATTCTTTTAAGGCAGAAGAGACTAAACATGCTGCTGCCAGACTGCCCAGGTGCCAATCAGTGACTTTGGGTGAGTCACGTGACCTCAGGAAGCCTCATGGTAAAAAAACGCTGCTCTGTTTATATGAAAACAAGAGTTTTCATAATAATCACTGAAGCATCTCCATTCACAAGCATTCCCATACAGGAGACAGGATCAAGCTAGAAACAAGCTCCTAAGTATTTCCTGAGCACCTACTATATGCTGGACACTGAGATAAAAAGATAAGAAAGGAAGATCTCTGATCTTGCAGAAAGTTTTGTCCGGGAGCAAAGCAGAAGGGAAGCCCATCGATCATCAAAACAAAACCCAAAGCAAAAACAGAACCACAGCCTCTATCCTCATTACCCAGATATGCCAGGCTGTAGTTTGGATTTGCTCATAGGTTTAAGGAAGATGGTGATCTTAGTCCCTTAGCCTTCTTGCTCAGTCAGTTCTTAGCCTCACAGGGGAGCTAGCCCTTGGTACAAATCTCATGGTTCAGGTGTACTTGTTCCCTAGAAAACAAGTCATTGTCGCCCTTAAGAACTTTCCCTTCCCTGTCATTGGTCCATTATGTGACAGTAATGTAGGGAACACACAAAATTTACACCTTTGGTAGAGAGCCATTTCATTTTATTTCTTTGTGTACAATATGGCCAGAATCTTAACGGGGGGAGGGGGGAGGAGGAGAGGGAGAGACAAAAATCTCTTCCAAATAGTTACCATAAATTTAGAGAAAAGGGTTTGTTTTTAAAAATTTGATGAAGAGGCAAATTCCACCACCACCCCCCCGCAAAGATTGTTTTTGGGGGAGTATGATTATGTCTTGGTGCTAACATGTAGAGCTAGCAGCTCATCAACTGTCTGATGACTTTCTTGCCAAAGCTTTCTGTATGAGCAAAGTGGTGAGGGGGGGAGGGGAGGGGAAGGCAGCCTGGTCACCATGACTACGAGTACTCACAGGAACACCTGGGCCTCTTGCTGAGCTAAGGGAGTGTTATAAGCCTTGGGCCCTGTTGCTGAGGCCCAACCCTACCACTTGCTGTGGGAATTGGAGCATAATTCCCATCATGCTATTCTTCCAGGGTTGATGAGGAATTAACTGAATGAACACATGGAAAGTGGCTGTGTATATAGTAAATGTACATATACTTCTTATTGCATGCCAGATGCTTATCCAATCACAAAGTAATTTAATCTCCATTACAAGTGTCTAAATGAGACATTCATATTACTACTACCACTGAGGCACAGAACGGTCGAATGGCTGACCTAATATCACAGAGCTAGTAAAGGATAAATCTGGGACTTGGACAGTCAGGAATGAGAGATCAGGTGCCTGACCTTCACAGTATTTGAGTTCATACTGAAAGCAGGTCCATAGTTGGGTTCTGTTCTTATTGCCTGTGTTAGCTTTCCTTTACTGTAACAAAACCTGAGAAGAAATATCTTCTGCATGCTGGTGGCTCATGCCTGTAATCCTAGCCACTGAGGAGGCTGAATGGATTGAGGTTTGAAGCCAACTCCAGACTTCTATCTCCCATTAACCACCAACATGTCAGAAGTCGAGCTATGATTCAAGTGGTAGAGTACCAACCTTGAATGAAAAAAAAAGCTAAGGAATAGCACTCAGGCCCAGAGTTTAAGCCCTAGTAATAGCACAGATTGGGGGAGGGGGGAGTGGAGAGAGAAAGAAGGAAGGAAGGAAGGAAGGAGAAAGGGAGGGAGGGAGGGAGGGAGGAAGATTGAATCAGCCACAATGGTTCACACCAATAATCCTTAGCAATTCAGGAGGTTGAGATTGGGAAGATCATCACTCCAGGCCTACCTAAGTCTCACAAACTTTTTGTGAGACCTTCCCCCACCTCCACCAAGATTTGAAAAGCTGGACATAGTGATATGCACCTATTATTATCCCAGCTATGTAAGAAGTATAAGTAGGAGGATTGAGTCCCTGGCCAGCCAGGGCATCATGTGAGACCCTATTTAGGAAAAAAAAATTAAAAGGGCTGGAGGTATTGCTCAAATGGTAGAGTACCTGCCTGCACAAGGCCCTAAGTTCAAACCCTAGTGCTGCCAGATAAAGAGAAAAGGTGTATTTGGGCTTGTTCTGCAGATTTCAGTCTGTGACCAACTCACCTTGTTGCCTTGAGTCTATGGCAGCAGAGAAGACTCATTCACCTCATGATCAGGTTGCAAAAGACACTGAGAGGAAAAGACCATCCTCCTCCTCAAGGGCATGACCTTCCATCTTAAAGTTCTACCGTCCTTCGGTAACACCAAGCTGGAGACTAAGACTTGATCACCTGCGGTGTTGGGGGACATTTCATATGCACACAACTGAGAAAACTAAGACTGGTAGCATTACACCTCTTAATCTCTGAAGTATTAATAACCTTGAAACCTCAGCAGAAAGCCTGGCTACTGCTGTTATTTCTGATGCCGAGATTGGAAACCCATGAAGAGTATGAATTTTTGTGTGCTTGGGCCAGTTCTGGGTTTTGAACGCTGGGCCTGGGTGCTGGCTGTCCCTGAGCTGCTTTTGTTCAAGGCTAGTGTTCTACCATAGGAGCCAGAGCTCTACTTCTGGATTTTTTTTTTTGGTAGTTTAGTGGAAATAAGAGTCTAACAGACTTGTTGTACCCCAGCTGGCTTCAAACTGAGCTCCTCAGATCTCAGCTTCCTGAGTGAGTAGCTGGGATTATAGGTGTGAGCTACCAACACCCAGCTTTTATGGTGATTTTTTAAGTGAGTAGTAACAGCACTCCTGAGAATTAGTGACCAGTAACCAGAGCCAAGTCTTCAGTCCATCAGTCATTCAATTAGCCCAAGACAGCTCTGCTTCTTGGTTTTCTAAAAGAATGTACATGTCCTAACAAAGTTATACTCGCACAAGACATTACCTCTGCTAGACATGTGTATTTGTACTTTTTCTTTGGGACTGGTATTTAATTACAGCTTGTTCTGCCCTGTCTTGGTGTCTTTCCTGCCTTCAGGTATTAGGTATCCTTTAACCATCCTCTATAATAAAGAAAACCCACAAAGCATAAAGTGCTAGCATGTTTGTCTTGTCAAGAAGAAATACTTATCACCTCAGGAAAGAGCATCCTTACGATCTCCTTGACATGGATTTGAATCATCATGGGGCATGCCTTGTTGCTTTGGCCTGGTGCTAACCTGTTTTTGTTTCCTTTTCCATCTAATTAGGGTTGAATTGGATCCTCATGTCAGGGACTGTATTCAGACGTATATTCGGGAGTGGCTGATTGTGAACCGGAAGTAAGTTGCTTTCCCCCTCCACCCCTTTCTATGCAAATGTAATTTGTAGATCGCTGGACTTCTTGTGGGTTTTTTTCTTCCATGTTAATACAGTTTGGGGACCGTTTTAGGCTTATAGAAAAATGGAGTAGGAAGTGCTAAGCTATCTCTGCTATTCCCTCCCCATCCCCCCCACCTCACACCTGCTTCCTGTGTTCACATCTTGATGCCTTAAAGGTGCATTTGTTGTGATGGGTGGGCCAATGCTGATTGAGTAGTATTCTTTAAAGCCTGTCGTTTATGTCAGTGTTCTGTTTGTTTGTGGCAGTACAGGGGATGGAGGCCAGGGTGCTCATGTGCTAGGCATGTATTGAGCTGTAGCTGCAGGTTTCCTGTTCATTTTCTGAGCTTTTGTTTTCTGCCAGTAGTGGGGCTTGACCTCAGTCTGGGTGCTGTCCCTTAGCTTTTCTACTCAAAGCTAGTGTTTCTCCCAGTTGAGCCGCACCTCCACTTCTGGCTTTTTGCTGGATAGTTGGAGATAATGGTCTCTTAGACTTTTCTGCCTAGGCTGCTTTCAAACGTGGATCCTCAGATCTCAAGATCTCAGTCTTTGGGTAGCTAGGATCATAGGCATGAACTACTAGTGTACTATATATAATACAATGGTGGTTTTTAAAAAAAATAGGAGTTTTCTTGTTTTATTCTGTTTAATTCCTAGTGAAGGGGAGCAATGAATTGGAACTTGGTCTCAGATTCAAAGGTGTCATTAAAATTTGTGACCCAGAATTTATAGGTTAACCCTCCCTTTAAAAGAGCCTTTCTAAGCCAGGTGCCAGTGGCTCACGCCTTTAATCCTAGCTGCTCAGGAAGCTGAGATCTAAGGATCACAGTTCAAAGCCAGCCCTAGGCAGGACAGTCCATGAGATTCTTATTTCCAATGATCTACCAAAAAAAAGCCAGAAGTGGAGCTGTGGCTCAAGTGGTAGAGCACCAGCCTTGAGTAAAAAAAGCTCAGGAATAGTGGCCAGGCCCTGAGTTCAAGTCCCAGAACGTTTCTTTCCTGAGTTTGTGATAATCTTTTTGTACATTGTAACAGCACATCTGAACACTGAAATTTTCAACTTGGTATACAAGCATGTGGATGGGTGTGTGTGCATGTGTGTGCATGCTGGTGTGTACATGCATGTATGTGCATGTGCACATGTGTGCTGAGAAGTAGGAGAGGAGCAGTCTGATAATTAGGGCCTACACACTAGAGACACATCAGAGAATCTTTGACAAGACTTAGTGTCTCAAAGGTCAGAAGCCTCATCTCTCCTCTTCACGACAAAGTTACTGATCTCTGGGATAAATAAATGATGAGACTTTGGAAATTGGGTTTTGTCCAGCTCCTGTCTGTGAACTTGTGCTGATTTTTTTGGACTGATGTCAGTATGTGTAGTGTCTTCATTAGTTGGGAGGAGAGACAAAGCATCATTTAGAAAAGTTAGTAAGAGAAAGTTGGATGCCGATTTATCTTTTGTCCTAATACAATTAGAAGACAGGCTCACCAGGCATTCATGTAAACTTATGCTTTACTGGTAATAGGTAAAAGATTTCAGAACAAGCTGTTCGCAAGCTTTTAAATGTCATACTTAGATGTCCTTGCTGGATATTAATGTTCCAAAAACATCTGAGAAGGAACAGTAAATGGAAAGGTCCATTTTACTAAATTTGGTTTTCAGATTTATTTTCTATTTTGAGATGATATTTTGCATTGCTCAGGGCAATGCTTTATCCTTGGAATATTTGGAAGTGGCGCTGTAGCTCAAGTGGTAGAGCGCTCGCCTTGAGTTGAAGAGCTGAGGAACAACGCCCAGGCCCAGAGTTCAAGCCCCACGACCGACCAAAAAAAAAAAACACCTATATCCTTGGAATATTAAAGAAGAAAAATGACTCTTTTTTTTAGAATACTCCGCTGAAGAAATTCTAGAAATGATGGGGACATAAAGCCAAAATAATTTAATTTTAACAGTATTTACAGAACCACCTTGCATGGTTCCATTTCCATGACATTCTGGAAAAGGTAAAGTTATAGGAACAGAAAACAGGTCAGTGGTTTCCAGTGGTTCTGGCTTGGAGAAATTCGTTTGCTGCAGAAGAACTTGGAAGAATTTTGAGGGCTTCTAGAACCATGCTATGCCTTGATTATAGTGTTAAAGTGGCAGTTACATAACCATGTGCATTTGTCAAAATCACAGAACCGTATTCCAAAAAGGCTGTGTTATAATTACACTTTAAAAGCAGCAGATAGACATCTAGGCTAGTGCCTGGCACAAAGAAATAACTCATTAAACTGAGGTTTAATATGATGTTATGCGATTTAAATTCTACCTCCACTACTCACTAGCTATATGACCCAAGGTGAACTTACTTATTTCTTTGTACGTTAATTTCCTCATTAGGGACATAGGAATTAAAGTAGCTCCCTGATTAACTGACTAGATGTATATGCCAGCCCTACAAACAACAACACTAATAATACCTACATTATAACTTTTGTTGTATATAATAAATAAGTTGATATATGTAAGGAAGATTTCTTGGTATACTGTAATAATTCCATAACTACTGGCTGTTAATGACATTATTAAAGAGTAGTACATAATATGACTCCTTCTTCTTGCTCATCTGACAAATAATTTTAGTTAGTCAAATTAATAAAATATTATATGCAAAGGAAAACATACAAAGAAGACAACTCAAGGTTGTCCAAAGTTCTTTTTGTAATTTGATAATTTACGGTAGATTTTCCTCTGTATATTCATGGAATAAAGATAAGATTTGGGACATGATAAGGTTTGTACTTAAGGGTTTATGTAGTTAAAATCCAATTTAACCAAAATATTCCTTTCAAGGGAAATAAATATATAGTAGCATATAGTAACAATTCTCTAAATAGTTCAACATTGACTATTCATGATAGTTATTAAACATCAGAAAAGTCATGTACATTAGCATGTCAAGTGACTAAAACAAGAACTCTGTCCCATATCCTTGAATACACATTGGCCATAGAGGTGACTGGCCAACTCCAGATGCCTATATTTCCTGTGCTTACTGAAGCCGCTTTGCCTTCTAAGTCGTGTCATTTGAAACCACACATTCAGGGATTGATTTAGGTAGCTCTTTTAGCTCTCAATTATCTCCTGGCTGATATTACCTTTCTCCATAACACCTGGAGAGAGGCTTTTATGGCCTCCCTCTCTGTGGTAATGGTTTTGAATCCCACTTTGGAGTGGAGGAGTGGCGTAATGTTCCATAGGACATTTGCCATTCAAGTTCAGTCATTGAGATCTTTAAATCAGACAAGTAGTGCCCGCCCAGGAAGGATAGAAGAAAGTTGTATGAATTTTTTTAAGTTTATAGGAAAGGATTTAAATTACATAGAAATGTAAAAGGCATGATTGCCTTTTGGGGAAAAAATATTTCCTTATTTGAAATGTTTGTCTGTTACTTAGTCTAAAAGATTCCTTGAACAGATAACCATTCTAATCTTTCAGGTCTCTGGCATCAATTTGAGGGCTTTCCTTGAAAAAGAATAATTTTTCAGGAGCCAGGCGCTGGTGGCTCATGCCTGTAATCCTAACTACTCAGGAGGCTGAGATCTGAGGATCACAGTGTGAAGCCAGTGTAGGGAGGAAAGTCCATGAGACTCTTACCTCCAATTAACCACCAGACAAGTGGAAGTGGTCCTGTGGTTCAAGGGGTAGGTTGCTAGCAAGCAGGCCCTAAAAGTTCAAGCCCCACAACTGACAAAACAAAGTTTTTGATTCTCCTTGTTTTAGAAAATGACTAGCACAATACCATCTTGTCTTGTTTCTCACCCAATTTCCATGTATCTTGATGATTTTGTGTGGATTAATGTTTCCTAGCCTCCTTTGAGTGATATTAAGTATTTTTAAAGGTTATTTTCTCTAAATGGAATCAAGGGGTGATTAACTCCGGAATGTTGTTGATGTTCTTAGTGGTAAGTCAAATTCTTAAGTAATTAAACTTGTTTACATGCTATTTATTATTACGGGGGTTATTTGCATTGTCAGTGAAATATTTCATGAGTGTTATGGGCAGCATCATAAAAGCCTTCAGACTGTCTTTCACTCTGGGTGATAAAGGCGATTCTAAAGGAAGGTCGAGCTCAAGGAGAGCAGGGATATCAAGGAATGGGGTAGCATCTGTTTTATTACTCCATATTTTACTCCCAGTGAACTGGTAAACAATTAAACTTCAAACACATCAGTGCATATAATTCAGTTACTCCCAAAACACCATAAAAATGTCTCCCTGATCAATAATTGCTTAGTATGACATGCATTTGTTGTGCTGCCTGTCGAAGTTGCTTAGCTATTTGCTTTCTTAAAGTATGGAAAGCAAGCCAGGCTCATCAGCATACATGGTAACAAAGAACAAGCCAACTGTAGACATCGCTGCCTTGCTCCACACCTGCTGTGTGTTCTTACAAGATTCTTCTCCACCAAGGCTCTAGTCAAAGGCTAAGGCTTTCAAAACCAAGCCATTCCTGACCTGTTCTTCTGTGCATTTCTAAAACATGTTGTATGCATTTCTCTCAGACACTTTCTTCAAAGTGTCTGTTGAATTGTTTTGTCTTGTTTTGTTTTTGGCTGATCCAGGGGCTTGAACTCAAGGCCTGGGCATTGTCCCTGAGAGCTTCTTTTATTCAAAGCAAATGCTCTACCACTTGAGCCACAGCACCATTTCTGACTTTTTCTGAGTAGTTTATTGGAGATAAAGGGAGTCTCTCCTGCCTGGCCTGGTTTTGAATTGCAATCCTCAGAGCTCAGACTCCTGAGTAGCAAGGATTACAGGCATGAGCCACTGCTGTCCAGTGTGTCTGTTGAATTCTAATGCCCTCTGTAAATTGTTATCTCTTCTGTTATATCTAAGATCATTAGGCTATGTTTGTACTTGGAAACAGAAACTCTTTCACAGCCAGTGGCATCTTCTTGGTACCTTCTCAGGAG